ATGGGATTTTGGCCTGCATCAAGAGGAGCATAGCGTCTAGATCTAGGGAAGTAATGCTACCCCTCTATTCTGCTTTGGTTAGACCACATCTGGAATATTGTGTCCAATTCTGGGCACCACAATTCAAGAGAGATTGACAAGCTGGAATGTGTCCAGAGGAGGGCGACTAAAATGATCAAGATCTGGAGAACAAGCCCTATGAGGAGCGGCTTAAGGAGCTGGGCATGTTTAGCCTGAAGAAGAGAAGGCTGAGAGGAGATATGATAGCCATGTATAAATATGTGAGAGGAAGCCACAGGGAGGAGGGAGCAAGCTTGTTTTCTGCTTCCCTGGAGACTAGGACGCGAACAATGGCTTCAAACTACAAGAGAGGAGATTCCATCTGAACATGAGGAAGAACTTCCTGACTGTGAGAGCCGTTCAGCAGTGGAACTCTCTGCCCCGGAGTGTGGTGGAGGCTCCTTCTTTGGAAGCTTTTAAGCAGAGGCTGGATGGCCATTTGTCAGGGGTGATTTGAATGAAATATTCCTGCTTCTTGGCAGAATGGGGTTGGACTGGATGGCCCAGGAGGTCTCTTCCAACTCTAGGATTCTATGATAAGGTTGTTGTAGGACATGTGGCAATACCATTCAAGCCCTCCTGAGAGATGGTCATGCCGCCTCTGTTTCACAACCTCCAGAGAGGTAGATTCCACCAGAATCCACATCAGCAAGGGATTGCAAGGGAGTGAATGATCAAGGGTCTGGAGAACAAGCCCTATGAGGAGCGGCTTAGGGAACTGGGCATGTTTAGCCTGAAGAAGAGAAGGCTGAGAGGAGATATGATAGCTATGTATAAATATGTGAGAGGAAGCCACAGGGAGGAGGGAGCAAGCTTGTTTTCTGCTTCCCTGGAGACTAGGACGCAGGAACAATGGCTTCAACTACAAGAGAGGAGATTCCATCTGAACATGAGGAAGAACTTCCTGACTGTGAGAGCAGTTCAGCAGTGGAACTCTCTGCCCCGGAGTGTGGTGGAGGCTCCTTCTTTGGAAGCTTTTAAACAGAGGCTGGATGGCCATCTGTCAGGGGTATTTGAATGCAATATTCCTGCTTCTTGGCAGATGGGGTTGGACTGGATGGCCCATGCGCTCTCTTCCAACTCTTTGATTCTATGATTTCCTGGCCCCTGTCTGCGTCTGCAGTCATCTTTGCACCTATTTATTTATTTATTTATTTACTTGTATACCTCAGTTTCTCAGCCTAACAGGCGACTCAACGCGGTTTACAACAAGGATAAGATCAATCAACGATATACAATTTAAAACCATTAGAGCACAATATACAATACTGACACAACAATAACAACACAATGCATCTCATAACTAGAGTCGTGATCCAAATTCGTCGTCCATATTTCCATTCCTGTAATCGTCACATTCATTGCACTGTTTACCCGAATGCCCGTTCAAATATCCAAGTTTTTAATCTTCTTCGGAACACCATTAGCGAGGGGGCTGATCTTACCTCCATGGGAAGGGCATTCCATAGCCAAGGGGCCACCACAGAAAAGGCCCTGTCTCTCATCCCCGCCAGCCGCACCTGTGAAGCAGGCGGGATAGAGAGCAGGGCCTCCCCAGAAGATCTTAGGGTCCTGGCGGGCTGATAGGCAGAGATACGTTCGGATAGGTAGCTTGGGCCAGAACCGTTTAGGGCTTTAAAGGCCAACGCCAGCACTTTGAATTGAGCCCGGTAGCAAATCGGCAGCCAGTGGAGCTGGTGCAGCAGGAGTTGTATGCTCCCTGCACTCCGCTCCTGTTAGTATCATGGCTGCCGAGCGTTGGACTAGTTGAAGCTTCCGAGCCGTCTTCAAAGGCAACCCCACGTAGAGAGCGTTGCAGTAGTCTAAACGGGATGTAACCAGAGCGTGGACTCCCGTGGCCAAGTCAGACTTCCCAAGGTACGGGCGCAGTTGGCGCACGAGTTTTAACTGTGCGAATGCTCCCCTGGTCACCGCCGAAACCTGAAATAGATTAGATGCCTGTCCTGAATTTAAGTTTGCATATTGCAAGACAGTAGATTGTGGATATTTTCCTTCCCCTCTTAATTGGACCATTCATAAAATTGTAAAGCTCACAATAAGCACTTCTATTAAAGAGCATTAGAAATTGCATACTGGGTCAATATCTATGTTACTGAAGGAATAAAAAGGACATGCTTTCTATGAAAAAAGCAATTTTTTTGAGCAGGAAGGAACCTTTTCTGTGCCTAAAGTGCCATAAAAGAGAAAGAAGAGAAGCCTCGCATGTATTATTCATTCAGAGTAAGTGTCGGATGTGGCAAAGAGTCTCGCCTGTCTGGGATTCAAAGGTGGTACAAACCCCTTTGCAGACTGGGATTCTCCTTGTAAAGGTTTCCCAAGGCTTGAGAAATCGATTTTTCCCAACTGCTGTATATTTTTTTTCCCATTACTCTGTGGCAGAGGAGTTGAAATTTACAAGGATGCTTTCCCCATCTCTTTTGGAGAGCAACAGCACAACAGTAAAAAACTGAAAGAGAGAGCATCCAACGGTTCAGCTGATGCACAATTTAAAGGTTCTTTCCAAGCCCAGGAGGGACGAAAAGCATTTCACGCAGCCAGCAAAGTTATAGAAAATGCTTAAGCCCTTGGAGAGGATTAAGATGCTGAAGGACACAGCTGAGCTGCAGCCCTCAAAGAGTTTTGTCGAGGCTGCAAAACAGTCTGCGCACCAGGAGGAGGAAGATTTCCATCTTGTTATTGCACTGAGAAAAGATGCCCAAAGGCTGCAAGCGGCAAGCCTTCTTCACCACACAATGTTGGTGCCTCATCAAACTGCAACTGCCACGACTCCATAGCAATGAGCAATGGCAGTTAAAGAGGTGTCAAACTGCATTAATTCTACAACATAGATCCACCACTATTTAGCTACCAAGCCCAGCAAACTCTGCCCAAATCAATACAGATGTGTGTTGAGCTTTAATGGATTCAGAACGTGCAAATGAATGGGAGGGAGAGCCAAGACTCCAGAGGACAGGAGCAGAATTCAAAACGATCTTGACAGATTAGAGAGATGAATGGCCAAAACTAACAAAATGAAGTTCAACAGGGACAAATGCAAGACACTCCACTTTGGCAGGAAAAACGAAATGCAAAGATAAAGAATGGGGGACGATGCCTGGCTCGAGAGCAGTACGTGTGGAAAAGATCTTGGAGTCCTCGTGGATGAGCCAACAATGTGATGTGGTGGCAAAAAAAGCCAATGGGATTTTGGCCTGCATCAAGAGGAGCATAGCGTCAGATAAGACGGAATGTTGGATAAGCGAAGGTCAGATAAGCGAGACTCTACTGCAGTGGTTCTTAACCTTCCGAATACCGCAACCCTTTAATACAGTTTCTCATGTTGTGGTGACCCCCAACCATAAAATTACTTCCGTTTCTACTTCATAACTTTAATTTTGTTATTGTTATGAATCATAATGTCAATATCTGATATGCAGGATGTATTTTCATTCACTGGACCAAATTGGGCACAAATACCTTATACGCCTAAATTTGAATACTAGTGGAATTTATTTTGTCATTTGGGAGTTGTAGTTACTGGGATTTATAGTTCACCTACAATCAAAGAGTATTCTGAACTCCACCAACGATAGAATTGGGCCAAACTTGGCACACAGAACCCCCATACTAACAAAAAATACTGTGTTTTCTGGTGGGCTTGGTGACCCCTCTGACGCCCCATCGCGACCCCCCCCCCAGGGGTCCCAACCCCCAGGTTGAGAAACACTGCTCTACTGTACTGTATTTCTTCAATGTAAGACATCATTCATTGATTGCAAGACACAAATTAATTTCAGCACCAACATAAAAAAAAAACTACACACACACATATAATGTTCCTGCAATTCTAAGACACACTCCAGTTTTGGGGAAAAGCATGCTTTAGAATTGAAGAACTACAGGGTTTCTGCTTCAGTCATTGCAAAGGCGGCCATTTCCCCAAAATGGAGCAGGGTTTACGGTATTATATTTATTTTGTCTGATACCAGGACTCGAAACAGATTCAGACACAAAGGAAAAAAGAGCCACTTGCCTGTTGAACGACACCCTCTTTATTCAAAAATATATTTATGAGACTTTTCAGAATATATTGCTGCCAAAATGGCAGCCTATATCTCTAGATTTATCTCTATGTCGGTTCATATACAGATTTAAGAAAACATCTTGGGGGCAAGAATACGGGCTTGACGTCTGCCGGAGACCACCTCACCCAGTCAGGGTAATGGGGACACCCCCTGCTCCTCCCCTCCGCAAACGGGACCCAGAAGGTTTGAGAAGCATCGAGGACAACAAAAATGTGGTGGCAATGCTTCTCCTGTGACCTCGAACATGGGGGGGAAAGCATCAAGCATGGAGATGCATCTATTGTGAAGACCAAGGAGATGTGTTGTTAACACAGGACTCAGAACTTTGAGAAGAAACTCATTTTGGGGGCTGGAACGGATTTGCAGACCTTCCAGTGGTGGCAATGCTTCTCCTGTGACCTCAAACATGGGGAAAAGGCATCAAGCATGGAGATGCATCTATTGTGAAGACCAYGGAGATGTGTTGTTGACAACACAGGACTCAGAACTTTGAGAAGAAACTCATTTTGSYGGKTGGAARYGATRTGCAGACCTTCCAGTGGTGMCAATGCTTCTCCTGTGYCCTCAAACATGYGYYYAAYGCATCAAGCATYGAGATGCATCTATTYTGAAGACCAAGGAGATGTGTTGWTGACAACACAGGACTCAGAACTTTGAGAAGAAACTCATTTTGGYGGKTGGAARGGATCTGCAGACCTTCCAGTGGTGGCAATGCTTCTCCTGTGACCMCAAACATGGGYYYAAYGCATCAAGCATYGAGATGCATCTATTGTGAAGACCAAGGAGATYTGTTGTTGACAACACAGGACTCAGAACTTTGAGAAGAAACTCATTTTGGGGGATGGAATGGATCTGCAGACCTTCCAGTGGTGGCAATGCTTCTCCTGTGACCTCAAACATGGGAGGAAAGCATCAAGCATAGAGATGCATCTATTGTGAAGACCAAGGAGATATGTTGTTGACAACACAGGACTCAGAACTTTGAGAAGAAACTCATTTTGGGGGCTGGAACGGATCTGCAGACCTTCCAGGCCAAATGAGGATTGCTACATTAACCCCTTCTTCAAAAATGAGGGCATAAAGGATGAGAAGGTTCCTCAGTTTGGAGTACCACAGAAGCAAAGGAGGGAGGCTTGGTTTGTTCTGGGAACACAGAAATCCCCAAATGTGAAATTAACCTTCGTATGATGGAGCCAGCCTGGTCTCAATCTTTCACACATCCCGATACAACCCTCACATTGCTGTATGGGGACTTGGTAGTCCAACACACCTGGAAAATGCTAAGTTGGAGAAGGTAGTTTGAGATTTCTGGTTGCCTTGGTTCCACAGCAAACTGGTGAAGAGAGATGAATATATAAAAGGAGGTGTGCAAATCAATGGACACAATTCACTGGGAACATCTTTCTTTCTAGAAAGCGGCCGCCCAGTCCATTTGCTTGTGGAAAGAGAGCAATCCAGCTGCCAAGGTTTGGAAGCCTTTGGTGCCAGTCTAGTCACAGTGCTATGGGAGGGTTTCCCATGGTATTCGAAATCGGCGGGTCGAAACCCAAGGAGAGTTGGATCCTCATGGTTCCTAAACGTTGCAGGAGATGAAAGGAACATAAGGGAAGACTGAGTGAAACCAGATCTGACAAACTAACAAGGATTGTTGCATGGAGGAATACGGAATACGCTGGCAGTCAAGAGAACGTACTTTTTCTTTGTTGCTTACCTGAGGTCTGTATGTCCCCTCCCAAACCTTTCACAAAGCATACCCTCCAATGTGCTTTCTTTGCTTAGTAAGGGGGGATCCAGAGATATCAAGCTTGACACACTCACACACACCAAACCCATTCAGAAAACAACCAAGTTCGCCTTTATGCAGGGGGTGCCGGGTGGGAGCAAAGCATCAATCGGCTTCTGTTGTTGTTGAATGATCTCCGTAGGAGGACACACAGGATTTGCCCAGGTGAAGGGAAGCTTTGCCACGTGGGATGGCTGCTCCCTTCTTTCCAGTGAGGGAAGCGCTCCCCAACAGCAGCGAGAGGTCAAAGGAGGGTCTCCGTCCATTCCTTCCTATGCCAGGTTACAGTGAGGTTCGCCAAGGAGGTGTTTTGCTGGTATCAAGTGGAAAGTGGGAAGGGAGAGGCGGAAGGGGGGAAATATAGACACCTGTGTGTCCTAGTCAGTCGAGAAAAGGTCCCCAGCGGACGGCAGAGGGGCCAACCCCCCAGTTACGTTGGGCAACAGCGACAGGTCCGGGAGGCTCTGGATGTGGGACTTCAGCTCTTTGCGGACCTGCGTTACCCGAGCCAGCTTCTGTTTGTATTCCTGTGGGACACGAGAGAGAGAAAAGGCCATGAGGATCAGCAGATGTAAATCTCCCTCCCATGATAACTCTTACTTAATTTAATTGTATACAACAGACACACAAGTGCAGTGACACCTTGACTTAATTTGTCCTGTGACTGAACTCCTAACTCAAAACACTCTTATCTCAAAGTTAATTTTCCCATTGAATTGCTATTACCCATTCCGGCCCCCCGAACCCCCCTTTTTTGTTATGTGTTTTTAAATAAGAAAATAATAATACTAATCTTTATTTATACCCCACCACTATCTCCCCAACTGCCCTTGCACTATGCTACTCTGCTGCTGAGTATGCATGCCCAGTGTGGAACACATCTCACCACGCTAAAACAGTAGATGTGGCTCTAAATGAGACATGCCGCATTATCACGGGGTGTCTGCGCCCTACACCGCTGGAGAAATTACACTGCTTAGCCAGRATTGCACCACCTGACATCTGCTGGGAAATAGCAGCCAATAGTGAAAGGACCAAGGCAGTGACATCTCCAGRTCATCCCTTGTTTGGGTATCAGCCAGCACGTCAATGACTTCAATCAAGAAATAATTCTCTAAGATCTACAGAGACACTCACCGAAACACCTCAGCAAGTGAGAGTCCAAAAGTGGCAGGCTCAAACCCAGAACCTCAATCAATGGCTGATATCAAATGAGAGACTCCCCCCTGGGCACACAGAGGACTGGGCAACTTGGAAGGTGCTGAACAGACTGCGTTCTGGCACCACGAGATGCAGAGCCAATCTTAAGAAATGGGGCCACAAAGTGGAGTCCACGGCATGCGAGTGTGGAGAAGAGCAAACCAGTGACCACCTGCTGCAATGCACCCTGAGCCCTACCACATGAGCAATGGAGGACCTCCTTGCGGCAACACCAGAGGCACTCCAAGTGGTCAGATACTGGTCAAAGGACATTTCATCAACTACCAAGTTTGCAAACTTTGTGTTTTTTTAAAACCTGTTTGTTTTGTTCTGTTAGAAATGTAATACAATGGTCTGTTGTGTGTCTTTGGCATTGATTCTCTGCCATATATGTGTACATTGTAATCTGCCCTGAGTCCCCTGCGGGGTGAGGAGGGCAGAATATAAATACTGTAAATAAATAAATAAATAACTAAATTGTATACAACAGACACACAAGTACAGTGATGCCTTGATTTAATTTGTTCTGTGACTGAACTCCTAACTCAAAACACTCTTATCTCAAAGTTAATTTTCCCATTGAATTGCTATTAACACATTCTGGCCCCCCTGAACCCCCTCCCCTTTTTGTTACGTGTTTTTAAATAAGAAAATGTACTTTATAAATAGCAAATAAAATATAAATGCACATTCACATGGAACAATTAAAAAAATCAACTTGAAAGAGGTAGAAGCACAAAACATAAAGCGAAGAGGCAGAAGCATCTTTTTCTTCTTCATCCTGTCCTCACTCCAGCTTCCCTCCCTCTCTTGCTCTTCATGAAGCCAAACATAACCAGGAATAAAACCCACACAAAATCAACTAATTCGAAGTTCCTCAAAGCGGACAAGAGCAAAGTGGAAAACCATCTCCCAAAGTGGACAAGAGGACGAGGCCTGGAGGCTGCTCCCTTGAAGCCCTATAAGCCCTGTACTCTTCCACTTGTGATCCCCGTGGGGCTCACCCATAACTCAAAATGCTGCTCGTATGTCACAGCGACACCAGAGCAGAGCGACTATTTATTTATTTACAGTATTTATATTCCGCCCTTCTCATCCCGAAGGGGACTCAGGGCGGATCACACTGCACATATACATGGTAAACATTCAATTGCCAAAGACACATAACATATACAGACAGACACAGAGAGGCTATTTAACTTTCCAGCTTCAAGAGGGTATGCTTCGAATTCTGGCCACCAGGGGACCTGTCGCTTTACCATCCACTTGTGACATTGATGGAGTACTTCCTCATTCTTTTGCATGCTGCTGGAGATTTTTATGGCATTGCAAATTAAATTAGCCTCCCTGCATAAGTGGTACCTAAATTTTCTACTTGACAGATGCAACTGTCTTTTGGGATGCAAAGATCGACAGCAAGCTAGACAAATAGTTGGGAGCCTACTCCGATCTGGGCTGGCTTTGAACTCATGACCTTTCGGTCAGTAGTGATTTTAATGCAGCTGACTTCCAAACCAGCTGCGCCACAACCCAGTCCTTAACCCAGCTCTTAACTCAAAACGCTCTTAAGTTGTGAAGCTCTTAAGTCGAGGTTCCACTGTAGATACTACAATAACTAACAAAACACACACATTACAACATCCCAACAAACCCTTCTCCTTCACCACACGTAGCCTGGCCTCTGTTGCCTCGAGGCACTTGATTGTTTGCTGTCTGGAGCCAGCCACCTCCCTGCAGATACCCTCACAGATTGACTTTGCAGCTTCATGGCTACTCAATGCTATTCAAGCTTGCTAATAGCAACATTCACACTTGTTTCAAACAGAAAAGGGTTCATATATACACTCCACTGGTCTCATTTCCAAACAAACCTGGCCATACAGTCTGAAAAAGCTGACAGTAATCCAGCTACTATTTCATTTCCAAAAGCAAATAAACAGTGATCTAATTGCCCAACCTCCACAGGACCATGAAGTCACTGAGGATATTCACATTTTAAGGGTTTTCAGACAAGCATCCTTGCATCTTTGGGGCGGTGTGGTGTGCCTCTTCCCTGCCAAGCAATGCCCTGCAGTGTTGAATTTCTAGCTGCGGAAGGGACAGAGAGAGGGGCTCCCACTTCTCTCTATTTATTCTGAGAATAAATAATGCCAACACCGTAGGCTTTGATGGAGATGCCCCGGGGGGCTCTCCTCATTTTGCCATCTCCGGCTGACACTCGGATATGGGTTTCCTTTAACAGCCTGTGTTTAATCTATGCGGCCACGCAAGGCCCAGGGAACTGAAGGAACCATTCTTTTGGAAAGATCTATGCAGCCATCGACAAGGAGGACCCCTCTGGTTTCAGAAATTAAACAGCCCAGGGGTGTTTCTGGGAAAAGGGAGAAGATCTTAGCTCCAGCTCCCAAAAGCCATCCTGTTGAGCCAGGCATCATCTCCCATTTTGTATCTTTGCATTTCCGTTTTTCTGGCTAAGTGGAGTATCTTGCATTGTCTCTGTTGAACTGTTGAACTTCATATTGCTAATTTTGGCCCATCTCTCGAAAATGACAAAATTAATTTCAGCCTTAAGCTGAACTATCATGAGACCTTTCTTGCCTTGGCCTCCCTCTGAGGATGAGAGAGTATTATTTGTCTCAGTTGGGTTTTCAATGGCCAAAAACAGGGGCCTGAACCCTTGGTTTTTAGAGTTGGGGTCCAATACTCACATTATGGTTGTTCATTCTGTAAACTAGGAAAAAAATTCTGGGCATTATATAATCCTTTGCATTATATTCTGCACAACACAGACAAAATCGGTTTTTGTGTCAAAAAATTTGCTTTATTTTATATTTGCTTTATTTTTATACCGCATTTTTCAGCCCAAACAGGCGACTCAATGCGGTTTACATGGTACGAGTTATCACAACAATGTCAGTGCAATTAAAAACGCAACATATACAGCAACAAAATCAACAACAATTAACAAGTCAAAACATAGCGCCTCAGTGAAATCAGATCCGTTCTCATAATCCTTGTGCCATTCCTATGTTCAATTTTACCGTCTTCCTACGTTCGGTTGCACTGTTTAGCCAAACGCTTGTTCATAAAGCCAAGTCTTGACCTTTCTCCGAAACGCCAGCAACGAAGGTGCCTGTCTGATGTCTACCGGTAAGGCATTCCATAGCCGAGGGGCCACCACTGAGAAGGCCCTGTATCTCGTCCCCGCCAAGCGCGCCTGTGACGCAGGCGGGACCGAGAGCAGGGCCTCTCCGGACGATCTTAATATCCTAGTCGGTTCATAGGTGGAGATGCGTTCGGAGAGGTAAGTGGGGCCAGAACCGTTTAGGGCTGTATTTTGCTGTATTTTGGTATGAAAAAATAAAATGCTGTATTTTGGTGTGAAAAATGTGCCCTTTGGTTAAGAATAAATGTCAAGCTGTTTATAACCATCTTAGACAATGGCACCGTTCTCAAACTCTTCCTCGCTGTGAAAAGGAAATGGTTAACATTCTTTGAGAAGAAAATTAGTCTGGAATCATATCCCGGCTGTGAACTGATCTGAAGAGAGAAGCAAATTACCAGTCACCTGAGAAGCCAACCCAAGAATCTCATTCGATTCCTAGCAAAAAAGGAAAGTGTCAAGCTAAATGCAGCTTTTTAAGGAGATTTCTTGTACTGGTCAAAGAGTGGAACCTTTTTGTGTGAGGCCCGCTGCATAATGGAACCTTTTTTATTTTCTAAGAATGAAAAAAAAACCCAGTGGCAGAATGAATGGGGAAAAACTGGGCCATTTTAAGGTTGTAATTAGCTTCTTTCAGGTGATTATCCCCCTCAGAAGCAATTACTAAAAATAAAGGCAGGCAGGGACAAAGCTTTCCTTGCGCCAAAGTTAGCGCATGCAGGGCAGTTACACATTTATAATAGTTTAAAGAACATAATGTATGAATATTGTTTCTTAAAAGGACACTAACCCAAGTCTCTGCCCAAGACATTGCCATTTTGGAGTGCATCATTCAAGAGAGACAAAACGTGCTTGAGTCCCTCTCCTTGCTGCTAATGGAATATTTCCACTCCATTGTTTGGGTCTTTTGAGAGACAATGACATTAGAAGAGAGTCTGAGAAGGAGCCTGAATGTAATATGCCCACAAAACCCTTGGCATTGCTTTGGATCTGTATTTCATCCCTAAGCTCCCCACTACCCTAAGAAATAAAGCAGGTGATAAGGTTCTGGTGGGTTTTTTCGGGCTATATGGCCATGTTCTCGAGGCATTCTCTCCTGACGTTTCACCTGCATCTATGGCAAACATCCTCAGAGGTAGTGAGGTCTGTTGGAATTAGGAAAAT